ATATAGGGACTGGCGTGCCAAACTGTGAAGAAAATAGAGCAGAAAAATATTGAAAATGGCTCAGGGGCACCACTGTCCCCTAACGGTTTCGCTTAAGAGTTTCGCGAGGCGTTCGCCTTAGTAAAAACTTGCAGAGTCTCGAAACTGATGCAGTCCTTTTTGACAAATGAAAAAGACCAAGCTCTTGGGGAAATCTATGCTCCATCTGCTACACAAAAAAAAACTGGTGAGAGAAAACAGGAGCAGGGTGATTCTCTTCGCCGAGCTACGGCCCCCTCTTAAGGGGCGGTAGCTCGGCGAAGAGAATCACCCTGCTCCTGCTTCGTCTCGCCCTATTTTTATTCTCTTTCTGGAGTGGATGACGAGAAAGGTGCAAACTTATCAAATTTCTAGAGATTTTTTACGCGGTCCCCCCTGGTAAAAGTTCCAGGGTCTACCCGTTTCAAGTTGAAAAGTGGCCCCGGAAGTTCCTAAATCGCACAAGAGAAAGCCTAGGCATCATGGGAAAAAAGCAAGAGGCTTCCAAACTCAAGTTGGAAAATGGTCCAGAACAAACACAAAGCTGCTAAACCGTGCAAAGAATTCCCTGGGCGCCACTGGTAAAAAAACCAAAGCCCAGAAAGCTCAAGCTGGAAAACGGTCGGGAAGTTTCTAGCCTGTGCCTACTTTGCTCGAGTCGCCACCAGGAGAAAGCCCAAGACCAGAAGGACCAGGCTGAAAGGTGTGCAAAAGTGCGCCGCTTTCGTTTCTGACAGCCGTAGCTAACACACTCAAGCCAAACCCAAGCCAAAGAGACCCAGCGAGGCCCAAACCGTGACCAAACTGAAACCAAACGCGGGCGAATCTGAACCCCAACGCAAAAGAAACTGAAACCAAACGCAGGCCACACGCAAACCAAACCCCAGCCAGCCTCGAGCCGAGCCAGAACCAAACGCAAACGAAACCGGGCCGAAACGCAAACCAAGCCCGGACCAAACCCAAGCCAAACCCAAACCACGCCCGCGCGCAAATGCAAACCAAACTCCAGCCAAACTCAAACCAAACCCACGCCAAACGGAAACGCGAACCGAACACATTCAAAACCTAAGCGCAAGCCGACCAAGCCTGCCGGAAGCCCGCCCGGCCTCAAACCAAATAGACGAGCCCCAAGCACGCCCGGACCCCGAAGCAGGGCCGAAACCCGCAGCATGCTCGAAACCCGGGCCAGGCTTGGGGCCTACGCTGAGCGTGGAACCCAAGCGGGGCGGGCTGCGGCGCACTGCGTGTGCGTCTTCTCTGCTCTTCCCTCTTCCTCTTCTTACTTGGGTCTTCTGAACCGCAGGGAGCCCGATGCCACCAGCCACCGCGGCGCGCCGTCGAATCTCGAGGAGCGAGAAGCGGGGAGAGAAACAAGAGAGGCAAAAGGCGCGACGGCATGACGATGCTGCGGCCTTGGCTGCGCGTGGTTCTCCAGTGCTGACCCGGTCGACACGGTCCCGCCTGTGTTGCCTTCGTCTTCTCTTTTGTTTCCCTCTCGTTTTCCTCTCTTCCAGGAGATTCGAGGGCGGGCCGCGGTGGCTGGCGGCGGGCTGCACTGCGTGCGCTGCGTGCGCAGTGTGTCCCCCTCGGTCTCCTTCGTGCTTGGTTCGCTCCTGGGATTCGAGAGCGCCGCGCGGTGGCTGGCGGTGGGTTATGAGGTGAGCGCAGTGCGCTCCCCGTCTTTGTCCTTCAGGAAGCTCCGGCCGAGCTCTGGACTTCTTCAAGACGAGGAGCCCGCTCGGAGTCGGGAAGCTCTCGCGACTAGAATCCACACGCGGCCGAGGTCGCTTCTGGTTTCGTTCATCAGGGGAAGAGGATCCATCCCCCCAACGAAATGAAGCCGCTGCGGGTCTTGTCGGTGAGGGGTCGAAATTGTGCGAATTTGATCAATCTGAGACATGTCCGTCTGTCATTTTGAAGACACTTGGAGACGGCTCCAAACTGCCACAAGAACAGAGAAAAAACCATAACGGGCGCCGGACTGCTTCGGGACCGCGGGCCCCCTCGACCCGGCCCTAGACCTTTGCGGCAGCCCGGTCGAGGCTCGTGGGGGAGTCTTCTCCAGGCTTCTCGGAAAGCCTGGGAGGCTCGGGCAGAGCCCGCGGGAGCCGCCTCGCAAAGCCCCCGGCAGGCTCGCAAGAGGCCGCCGCCGAAGCCGTGCGCGGGGATGCATTCTTCACCGCGTGGCTACAGCGTAGCTATTAGAATCCTTCGCAGACAGGTGGCTACGTCTAGACTGTGGAGGAATCTAGACACAGAGCGGACGCCGACGCTGTGCGGCGTCGCGGTTCTGATGTTAGAGCAGGTGGCCGCGGAGTCAGTCCTCTCAACGTCAGGAGGCTTGCTAGTTTGCTTCGTTTTGGGCTCGGCCTGCTTCTGGTCTAATATTGGTGGGCCGCAAGGCTTACCCGCTTCCAATTTTTAAACGCCGGGCGGGGGTGGCAGAGATTCCCCAAAGGGCTCCGCCCTTTTCAATTCCTAGAAGGGCGCTGATTGCCGCGAAAGTTTTCCCAAAATAAAGGCAAAACTCTGCAGAATCTCAGAAAAATGCTAGGAAAGCACAAAAATCAAAAAACGGGCAAAAATCAGGGAGCACCCAGCTGGAGGACTCTGCTGGGGCTAAAAGCTTAAACGCCGGGCGGGGGGCGCGTAGCGCAGAGCTGCAAAGCAGCAGGGCCGCACCTCGCAAGCCAAAAGACTAATGCGCCAACTGCTGGCAAATACAGTGCCTCCGCGCTGCTTGTGCTTGCTAGAAGCGAGCCAGTGGCACTTTCGTGAGAACTAATGGCAAGGCGCCTCCGCTCCTTTCGCCCATTCGAAACGCCGTCGCTCTTTGCCGACGAGCAAAGACGAGGAAGAATCCAGAAAGAACGCAGACACAAGGCCAACAACTGCGGCCAGCGTCGGAGCTTTTTCGCTAATTAAGCTTACTTGAAGCGACAAAGCTGCAGCTCCGTGGGAGACTAGTGGCAAAATGGCTTGTCGTTTTCTTCCAATCGTTTCCCGCGTGTCCTAATAGGAGGCGACCTGAACCGCGTGGCGCCTCTCTTGGGCTCGCGGTCCCCCTTTCTAGCAGCCTGCGGCGAAAATAATGGGGAGCGCATTACCCTGCCGGATTCTGATCGCGCTGGGATGCAGGCTCGCACTAGATTCCGCGGCCCACCGGCTCCAGCGCGAGGGCGGAAAAACCAACGGGGAACACCGTGGCAAGCGCGCTGCGCTTCGCTTCCTTGCTTACCGCGACCGATACCAAGCCCCGGACACTGAAGAGCCCCCGTGCTGAACGCTTGAGAAGCCGCGGCTTTTGGAGCAAGATAGACCACGCCCGCGCGCCCGCTGGCTCCATGGTCCCGCTGCTTGGAAACCGGGGCGCGAGAGGTCGACGACGGCAAGGAAGGCCTTAGCGCCGGCCGTCGATTGGCCGAAAAGCGCCGACTCTTGGCGGGTTTTCAAGCTGAACGCTTGAAGGGTCACGGCCTGCGCAGCAAGAGAGACCACGCCCGCGCGCCCGCTGGCTCCTTGGTCGTGCAGCTTGGTAGCCGGGCCGCGATAGGTCGACGACGGCGGCAAAGCCTGCCGATAGGCCGAAAAGCCCCGGCTTTTGGCGACGGCGGCGAGAACCCTCGCGCCGGTTGCCGGCTGGCCAAAGAGCCCCCGCGCCTGGCGAGTTTTCAAGATGAACGCCAAAAGAGCCACGTGTGCAGCAAGAGAGACCACGCCCGCGCGCCCGCTTGCTCCATGGTCCTGCAGCTTGGCAGCCCGGCCGCGATAAGTCGACGACACACGCGGACCGCCTTCCGCTTGCCTTCTCCCCAAGAGCCCCGGGCCCTGTGCGGACTTCACACGGCAAAAGTCGAGAAAACCGGGGCAGCGCGGAAGTGCGTCGGGGCTTTCTCTGCTCCCAATTGAAAGCGCGTGGCCCTCGGTCCCGTAGGCCGCTAGGGAGGGTGGGCGCAGCCTTGCGAGCTTGCCCCCTGTTCTGCTCCACGCGAAATCCAGTGGCCGTCGCTTTGCGTCGGAGTCTGTTGAACATGCCTTCTGCGCTAGTACTCGCACTCTTTGCGATGGGCTCGGCGGGTCGACAAAATTTCCTACCGACCCCTCGCGAAACATGCTGCCCAAGGGGGCTGCCGCTACGCGATTGAGCTTGTGCCGCGCTGCCGCGCGGGGTTTTCCATTCCCGCCCCCTTCCCACCCCGCCAAACTGTCGGGCGCAACCGCTGAGAGGCGAGGCCGCTTCGGCCCCGGCTTCCTTTTCGATGGTTCTTCGCCCGCGCGCCCTCGGGGCCTCTCGTTTGCCGCGGCACTCTTCGTCTTGAAGTGGTTCGCGGAACGGGACAGGCGTGTGCCGCATTTCCAAACGCCCAAACACTTCGCGGAAAAATATGCGGAGCGTGTCTCGGCTTGACCGAGGAGCCCAGAAAACGACGAGGCCCGAAAATCCCTGTCCAGGCCGAGGGCGTTGCGCACGCCCGGCCGCTTTGGGTGCGCGGCCTTAGCCGATTGCGCGTCCCTCCGACGCCCGGTTCCCGAGAGGTCCTCCCCGCGGCATGGGGTAGCGGCTTACGTGGCCGCGAACCCGTCCCGCCCGCAACGAAGCGGGCGCCCCCTGTGGCGAAACACGGGCCCGGGGAGAGGGTCGCGAAATGCAGTCAAAAGCGACGGCCAACGGGTGGGGAGCGACTGCCAGCGAGGCCGGCTTCGGCTCCCTCACGGTGCTCACACCGCCGGCGGGAGGGCTTGTTTGGACGGGGAGCACGTTGGAGCAGCGGGCGGGCCTTCGTAAGGTAGCACGCCCGGCCCCCCTAGCAGCGAGTAGGCGCCCTCTGTCGCTCCTTTTTCTAAGAGCGCGGGGGCTGCGACTGATCATGATTTTCTTGCGGTATTGGACGGGCACCCACCGTTGCTCCATTATCAAGGATCACGAACTGTGCAGCGGGTCAACATACAACCGCCGAATTAAATGCGCAAGGCCACTAGCTGTGGCACTGCGACCGGTAGTTGTTAAGAATGAAATCAATTATGCCGACGTTTTTCTATTCGCTTTTTTCTCGCCGCCTGGTTGGATGGCCTTGCCTTTTTCGCGCCGTCCGGCCTCATCAGCTTGGCAGAATGCTTCCCGTGTTCTGCGCAGTTGCATTGGTTGGTTGCTTCGTGGATGCTTCGCGAAGCGCCGCGCCTTGCTCACCACTCCAAGGAGATAGCCCTAACCAGAACAACTACAAACGCGATGAACAAAGGGGTCTTCATTACGTTAAGCGAGTGCACCTGATCTGGTCGCAGGGACTTGGTGACCGCAAAGACAATTTGCGACCAGGCCGTTTCTTCGACGTCCAGCCGTTGTTGAGGAAACCGTTAGAGACCTTAGCAGAACGCCTCTCGGAAGTTGGAACGATTGCAACCAGAGAAAGGCTGCTATCGGATTCGGAGGATCCAGAACTTCCAGGTGGAAATGAAGGAAGCAGTGCATCAGTAGATGTGGAGGATCAACAAACATCGGGCGTGGAGGATGAACAAAGGAAGACGAAGACATCCGATGTGGAGGATCACCTCGAGAAGACTCCAACTATAATTCGATCTGTGGGTCTTGAGGATCCTCAGAAAAGTTTTCAAACATCTCTGGAAGCGGATATTCAGTGCGGCCTATTCGGGACAGCCGACCCAGTAAAGATTTTGCCTCCACATCTTCTCGTCTACCACAAAACGGTGGTGGAAAAGTTGCCGGGGTAAAGAAATATCACCAACTATGATGCTTACCAATATCGGGATCCTTTTAAATTATAGCACAAATCTGCGGAACACTAACACTCGGACTTTCCATGCTCGAACCACCTCGAAATAAAAGAAATTTTCGTGTCTGGGTTGGCTGATATTTTCTCGTTAGATGATAGATGGACTTCAGGATCAGGGCTATCGCTGTTGTACAGGTAGGTACGAAGTTTTTCTTTGGGACGATGCTGGAATTAATGAGCTGGTGCGCTGGTCACGCGACACGGAGTTTTGGAGCGATGTCTTGCCACTGACGCTTATGAAAAAATGCCAGATGTTGTCTTTTTTTGTCTGATTGATTACAGTTCTATGGAAGAAGCTAACTACAGTTCTTATGGACGTGGTTCCACGACGAAGAAAAAATTGTTTCGTTTTCGTCTGTCTCCCCACAAATATAATGTAGACGAATGTTTAATACTTCTTCTCAAAATTTATTTTATGAAGTTTGCTTCTCTAAGTCAAATTCCGAAGTTTCCCGCTTGAAAGGAGACCGAAAGTTTTTTCATGATTTTTACGTGCGAGGCCGCAATGTGACTAGTCGTTTACCACATACGGAAATACACGTCCTAGTCGACCGCTGGTTTCGAAGCGATAAAATTTCCGAGACGGTGAATTATGATTCCACGCTTCTTGAACAAGAGAGATTTTATTTAGATATGAAGAAAGAAAGTCAAAACGACCCATCTATTACCAAGTTGTCATTCTGTGTTGATATCGCGAAGCACAACTACAGCCACACTTGAATACTTGGGAAGAACAGCATCCACCCTCATCTAAGCTGTGTATCGTGATATCGCGAAGTTTTTGGTTCTTTATCGGTACGGTGGAATTTTTTTGGACTTGGACATCGAGTTGGTCTCTGATCCTACTCCACTGTTTCGATTTCTGACCAAGACTAGAAAAGGGATCAACATGAACACAACAACGTCAGACTCAGAAGAACTAAAAAGAATAAGGGGAGGAACAACAACAAGAATTCCAGATGAAGAAGATCAAGAGCAAGAGGAGCCGGACCTGATACCCCGTACGAAAGCTGTTGTAATGGATCCTACCACGGGTGTCATCTACAGCCAGCAGCGGCATCCTTTCTGGCTAGAAGTTTTGTGGTCACTGGAAGCTTTGATTTTTTCCGAAGTTGTGAAGCCGGACCCTGTTTTCAGTATTACACGAGAAAGAATCTTTCCTCGGTACAACCACGGTGAGACGAGCGACGTGGACGCGAAGACAACCTCCGGGAACCCTCTAGTTTTCACTCTCGAAAGGGATGCAGCAATGATGTACGACATGCACCTCAAAGCTTTGCGAGAGCTACTACTGCATCAAGCTCGAAAGGACAACAACCACAAGAAGCCCAGAGGCAGACAATGCAACAGCGACGACAATAACAACAGAGGCAAAGGGAACAACAGTAACAACAAAAACTCCAGAGGAGCAGTGCACTCCAATAAAGAAGCAGATGAGCAGCAACATCTGCTGTATTCAACTCCAGAGAAAATTTACTACCGTAATAAACATTACGTTTTCATTCCTCGGACTATGCGAAAGATATATGAGAGGAGCATCTTTGGAATTAAGGTTCACCCTGATGCATCTTCTGCAGCATCTTGGACCTGTCCCGCAAGGGGAATACAGCTCCAAGATGAATTTTATTTATGATGCATTCGTTTGCGGGCAAGCTCTAATGCAATCAATGGGTTAGATCGTGTTTTTATGCTGCCAGCTCATCACTTCAACCCCTTAGAAACCCAGTATCATCATTGGAAAGCAAGTGTGAGAACCACGAAAAAAATTCTTCATCCATTAGCTGCTGGTATGCCGGAGAATAGAACAAGAAGCTTGATTTTTACGGAACAAGGAGGAACATGTGGGTTTAGGGTTGCTCATTTTTTTATACAAGTATAAAGAAGGGAGACAGAGACTCAAGCAAGATATTCCTACATAAGTAGTTGACTGATAATATCAAACCGTCTTTGTGATTGTGTGATGATGACAAACGAGCTCGAAGCAACGTCAGCTCTTCTCCCTTCATTACTACTGCGTCAAGGAATCCGTTGACAAGATCGACGGTAGGGGTGAAAGACTTGAGTCAAGAGTTTGACGAAGTAGACGAGTTGCAGGGCACTCTCTGGCGTCGTGAGAATGCGCTCGCAACACAGCGTGTTGTTGTGGACTCAGGGAAGTTATGTTTTTCTGTAGTGCTGAGGATGTTTCAATATTTATAGTGTAAATTGATGGCTGCTTCCAACTATTTCTACTACGATAAGTACCAGGAATATAACGGTGTTCGGCCTGCAGGCAGTTAGACATCACAGTAAAGCAGCGAAAGGCAAAATGGCTTCGTCGAATCTAATGACACCTCGCAAGAAGCAGGAGCCGCTTTCTGAGTTCTGCGGTCGACATTTTGGCCTGTCCAAGGAGATTTGGGATATGGGTTTAGAGACACGACAGAACCAACTACAGGCGGCTTTTCAAAAACATGTTGTCGCGAATGGACAGGAGATGGTAGAGGAAGTGGAATTTCAAGAAGGTAAAAAACAAGAAGACAGGACCACGTCAAACTATAGCGACCAACGAGATGTTCTTAGTCTCGACCTAGGAGCCAGACGAGCCTGGGGTGCGGCGAGTAACGACCCTTATTCGCGTTTGAATCTTCTGTGGCGCGATGTGAGCTTTAGTAGCTACTTGTTTTCTCACCATCGTTGCTACGGCGGCCTCTGCGGTGAACCGAATGTGTGGGAAGAAGGTTACGGTCTTGAGATTTTCTTCAAATTTTTCCATCTCGTGTTTCCTGGAATAATGCGTTGGAAATGCAGCTCTGCTGTGTTGATACTAGCCATTTTTTTCCAGCCTCGTCTTGAAACAGATCCTGCATTCTTCAACCAAATAGAGTTCTAAGACCTAGAAAAACAGTGTGTTGCCGCAGCAGCTTTTGACCTGAAAACTTGGCTCATAGAGGAAACGCCGCAGGGTTTCATGAAATATTTTCTGCAGCGTCTATCCCGTCACCGCTTCCCGCGATGTGAGAGATACGACCAGTGCATGGACATAGCAACACGAAAAGGAGAACGACGAGGACACAGGCGACTATTGGCGAAAGAAACAGTACAGGGAACTGAAGGAAACGTCGACATTTTGGGGGTAGAAGAAGATGAGCTCGTGCTTGCTGCAAGTTATGTTGTTGACTTTTTTTTAGTGTGATGCAGCTAAGACTAAGTAATGGTTACTGTATTCTAAGTGTTATGAACAGGCAGATACAGTTTTGTTCGGGGGTAAAGTTTGTTAGGGGCACTTAACGGACCGTGAAGCACTTAAAAACGGACCGCGAGGCACTTAAAAACGGACCGCGAGGCACTTAACGGACCGTGAGGCACTTAACGGACCGCGAGGCACTTAACGGACCGTAAGGCACTTAGCGGTCTGTGAGGCACTTAACGGACCGCGAGGCACTTAGCGGACCGTGCGGCACTTAACGGTCCGTGAGGCATTTTACGGACCGTGAGGCACTTAACGGGCCGCGAGGCACTTAACGGACCGCGAGGCACCCAACGGACCGCGAATCACTTAACGGACCGTGAGGCACTTAACGGACCGTGAGGCACTTAACGGACCGCGAAGCACTTAACGGACCGTGAGGCACTTAACGGACCGTGAGGCACTTAACGGACCGCGAGGCACTTAACGGACCTTGAGGCACTTAACGGTCCGTGAGCCGAGGCATTTAACGGACCGCGAAGCACTTAACGGACCGTGAGGCACTTAAGCGGCAGGCAGGGCGCCTGAATGCCAGTGGGCGCACAGGTGCCGCGGCGCCCTCCTCCTGCACGGGCCTGCCCCTTGGCCGTTTCGCTCCCTAACCGTTTCGCACCTTAGCGGTTTCGCCCCCTAACCGTTTCGCCCCCCAGCCGTTTCGCCCCACAGCGGTTTCGCCCCTCAGCTGTTTCGCCCCTTAGCGGTTTCGCGCCTTAGCGGTTTCGCCTCTTAACGGTTTCGCCCCTTAGCGGTTTCGCCTCTTAACGGTTTCGCCCCTTAGCGGTTTCGCCCCTTAACGGTTTCGCCTCTTAACGGTTTCGCCCCTCAACGCCTTCGCCCCTTAACGGTTTCGCCCCTCAACGCCTTCGCCCCTTAACGGTCTCGCCCCTTGGAAGCGGGCACTCGGATAGCCTTTTTACTTCGTCCACTTTCTAACGCATGCTGGCGTCAAACGCAAAAAACAGAAGCAGAACGAGCAATAACGATTTGCCACTGGGAACTTCCACTACTGCTGCTGATGACGAGGAATCTAGCAAGCAGCGACCGTCTTTTGTAGACGTTCTTTTGCGAAAAAAGTTTCTTGCAGCTCCTTTGGGAGGTTTTCCAAGTACCACTCGTGAAGACGAAACAGGCAAGCAGATTAATCTGCTGAACAGAGAGCAGCATAAAAACGATGATCCTATTGAGGCGTTGTACTATCCTTGCAGCAGTCTCCGTTCCTGCGCATCGCTCTTGCTGCAAGGTCAATTAGCATCCAAGCTGCTCGACGAGACGCAGGAAGAAGACATTGCTGGCGAAGAAGATGATTTGCTGATACGACATCTGCGCAGTACGATTTACGGTGTCCACCATTTCGACGGCTCCTGGCTACCGTCAACCTATCTGCACGAATCCGACAACTTCACGAGTAAACTGCAAATGCGTCAGTGGATGCGGCAGAATTCAAGCATTCTTAGACCGACCTAGCATTTTTCGCTGAAGAGAACGTCTTTCGGCTTACTAGAGTTTCGCATTCATAATAGTAAAAAAGTGTTGTAACAAGTGACTTTCTGTTTCTCTACAATGTTCTTGATCCCCATTTCCATCGATAAAGAATCAATTTGTCATGAAATTTCGCCATGTGGTCTGCGTATGCATGGCGACAGTTTCCTGCTTCATAGGACAGGATCGCGTCATTGATCGATGTAGTCATTGGCCGTCTTCCTGTCTCGGTGTTCATTCAGCTGCTTGGATTCTTCACCAGGAGTAGGAAAAGTTCACACGTATTTGGCATTTCTGAGACGAAGTACGCGGTGAAGCTAAAATCGAATTCAGAATAGTGTAAGCAACTGGACGAGAAGATCTTCCGGATCAAAATCGAGCACCTCTAGCAGATCAGCCTTGTACCGTCAATATGCCTTTTTTGCGTGAGGTGTTAGGTCGTTTTGTCGCGTCCACGCGACTGCGGATGCTGGCGGTTGTGGTACTGCTAGTCGGCTACGTCTGGCTTGCTGTCTTTCATGCCTTTGACCGCAGTACGGAGATCGAAGAGCATGGTCTCATACCTGGTTCGCATCGTCCTGGCATTGTGTTTGAACCCGAGACGAACTTTCAGGTGAAGATAACATCGAATCTTGATCCTGACGGAGGTGGCCGTGACGACGGAGAACTAGATCTAGAAAATAATACCAAAGTAAAAATTCGTCGATTAGCTGCACGTGAGCGAACCCTACAGCTGCTGCTTCAGCAAGTTCAAACCATGGAAGGTTTTGCTGCAGATGTTGTAACTGAACAGGAAGGAACAGAAGTTTACGAGGTTGATGTAAAAGATTCGTCTCTACTTAAACGCTCTTTCACAACTTGCTAGTCATACCTAGAGGGCTCTCCGCCTAAGTGGTGCTAGTCACCACTTACTAAGCGACACATATACGTAGCACTGGTCACCACTTATGCGAGCTCGCCTAAGTGGTGACGGTCACCGCTTAAGCGAATGCTGGAAGGGACTAAAGCAGTGACTCGCTTGATTGGTGATAGTCACTGACACCACCTAACTGGCCCGTAGTCCTCCTTACCAGTGGTGAAATTCATCACTTAAGCTGTCCCTATAGAATCACAGTGACAGACAGACATGAAGTGTCGTAAATCTCTAAAAAAGACTGGGAGTTTCGATTGTGGCGCCTTCTCGACGTGGGGATGGACGTGAGCGTATAGCGTTTGTTGTCGAGATGGACTTCGCTACAGCAGTGGATGGAGAGTCTTCCATCGCGAATGTTACGAAGAGTTTGTAATTGCTCTGCAGGAAACGACAACTTACCACTCCGACACTCTCTGGCATTACTTGCTCCGAATATTCGTGAAAGCGCAACTTCTGCAGTAGACATCACGACTCACTTGCTTGCTTGACCATTTTCATTTCCAGCATTTTTCTAAATCACCTGGCCTGATTGCAATGGGAGTCCAAATGGCGAAGTACTTGAGTTCCGTGCAGTGGCTTGCAAGGGATGTCGTCGTTGCTTTTTTAGATACGAGTTTGCCGTATGCTCCCGCAGCCCGAGCCTTTCTTCAAGGACAAGGACCACAGGGCTCGCGGAACGCCCTCTTACGACAAGCCGTCTTCTTGAATCTAGATGAAGCCAGGTTGGTGAAGCGAGGTCGTGAAGTTGAAGTTGTGTGCGACGAGTTGCAACTGGATATCGAAGGGGTGAATGGATTTTTACCGAACCAAGATATTCTCAACGCCTTCGTCCGCGAAGTTGACGTTGCTTATCGGTATAGTTAAGAAAGAATGTAAGACAGAAGCCAGAGCTTCAGCGTTCAACAACAGGAACAACAGGAACAGTTGACCGACCACTAACAATCCAACAACAAGCTAGACTGGCGGGTAGATCTCGTCTGGGAAATCTTAGGCAGCTCGCCGAATAGATTCAAATCATCAAGAAAGAATGTAAGACGCAGCAGCCGCTAATAATGGTTCAAGATAGGGAGACACTACAGACTGTAGAGACAAGATTTTCACTGTGGTGTAGAATACGGTACTCTACTTTCCATACTATTGAGTTGGAAATAACCGGTGAAGCGGACGGATGTTATACTCTGCCTTTCTAATGTCGGTACTACGCTAGCGCGGAGGGCCCTTTCCGTTTGCGATCGGTGTGGGAAAGTCTAGCACATATGTTATGATCTTGTGATCTTGAGTTTTTACGGCAGAATATAATCCTCCTAAGCATTCTATTTTACTCCATAATCTATTTTTACTCCATAATCAGACACAGACTAGAACTTGGAGGCTTTCTCAACAGCCCGATTAAGACTCCATAATCTATTTTTACTCCATAATCAGACACAGACTAGAACTTGGAGGCTTTCTCAACAGCCCGATTAAGTACTGAGCCTAACCTTTAATTCTGGGGCTACAAAACGGCGGCGTGCATTCTGGTCATTCTGTTTTTCTGGAACATCAGATACCAGCTTTCACAGTCCGTGCCAAGGGAGCAACAAAAGAGACAAATAATGAAGTTTCGTCGAGCCGTCCACAGCATGTTCTTTTCGCAGGGACCGTGCATAATGACCAGCAAAAAGTGGCGACCTTGTCAGTAGTTCCCGCACCATTGACGCGTCTAGTAGGTGCCGCCCTAGAGGGCCTGCTGCGGGATTACAGCAATGTCCTGCAGCAATTGCATCACTCCTTCAATACGTATGTGATGACCAGTTTACGAAGCCATGTGAGTAGTGGGCTCTATTATTACCCAGTCTGTGCCATCCAAGCAGGTATGGTACTGCTCATTCTCGTGATTCCAGAAGGAAATCCTTTTCGACGGGACTTTCGTGGCACTATTCAGGGTATTCTTTATGACGTTTGAAAGTGTGCTCAAACTCATGTTCAAAGAATTAGCTAGCTTTTCTCAAGTGGGAAAATATCTAGAATTTAATCGAGTATGAGTACACTCTGTCTTGTCAGATTCTTGCGCTTGTGGTCATTGTCGTGTCCAGTGGAGTGCCGTTATTTTTATTCGGAAAGATGTACTGCAATACGCAGCTTCCAACTTGCGCATTACCTACTCCGGAAGAACAACAAGGTGGAGAACAACGAACGAGCAGCAGCAGCTTTGATGCTATTTCATCATATCAGCAGTCCTCCCCTGTCATCGCAGCAATAGTATATCTGTCATTGATGTTTTTTGCGCGGCGCGTGCTGCTGAATGTGACATCAAGAAAGGGACCCTTGACTCTGGGCTCGACGCAGGAGAGAGAACAAAGAATAAACTTTGGGTATGAGCTCCAGTGCGCTGCGGTCTTCGTATTCACGCTTGTTTTGGCTGCTCTGACGGTATTCCACTACGCTCTTGGCGTCTTTGCCACGACGGTCATAGTACCCCAATTGATCCTAGTGGTGCCCTACCGGCAATTGTACTTCTATTTAAGGACAGGACTTCTATATTATTTATCAATTTCAAGTGGAACCACTACTCTTGTGGCCAGCGTCAGAGATCATATAAAGACGACTGAAAATAAAGGATGCAACTTCTGAGCAGCAACAGATTAAAGTTCTAAACACAAAGCCATCTTCAAAAGACCGGGAAGATACAACAAAGAGCATAGCAGACGGCAAAGACGACATAGCCACGACAACATATGTGCTCCGCTACAGATATTTGGTCAGCATTGCCACTGTTTTTACCTTTCTCGGTGGCCACATTTTCCTCGTTGCCACCCCACAAAGTTTCCGGCAGAACTCTGTGGCTCCTTTGTTCCGCGACGTCCTTAAGACCACTTCACAAAAATTGTATTGGGACAACGTAGAAGATAGCGCATTTCAGCTTTCCAACAAGAACGCTGTTCGTCCGAGCAATAACAAGGCTTCGATGCAGTTTTTTCCGAACGACCTGGTGCTGTTCTTAAGGCTGGATCGGTTCTTGCATGCTTTGGTTCCTTTTCAGCGAGCATCAGTATCTTCAAAAGGACTTAATACAAAAAAAGAGAGGTTTCAAGTACCAAGAGGACTTAGAGGTACAAAATGTTTCAAGCAGCAAGAGGGCTTCGTACAAAAAGTGGCAAACGGACAAATACCAGATCCACAGTTCTACCAAGAAAGGGCACGAGGAATATGGTTATTTCTTGTTGTCATTTCTGCGGCACTTCTAATCTTTTTGGAGGAGCATTTGGTGAATCTAGTAGGCTTAGACGTGCCAAAGACGTTTCTGAAACTCCTCTCTGATTACGAGCACAAAGGGGGCTTGGCATTTCCGGTTCTCTGCTTTGTGTACTTAAGATGGCATCAAATGCTTCTGAGTCAGGAGTATTCTGAGGTCAGTGTGCTCAATGATTTTCCATTTCTTGAGTGGACATAAGTCTTGATAGACAGTTGGTTCGTGGGCTTCCATCTTTATTTCGTGATCAAACTATACTAGAATGTGCCGTTTTCTCTTGTTCACTCTAATCTATGTCTGGTTTCATTTTCTTCACCGATCACTGTAGTCTATGTCTGGTTTCATTTTCTTCTCTTGTCTATTCTAATCTATGTGCCGTTTTTGTTCGCCTTGCTTTTCATCGCTACGGATCCTATGGAAGAAGAGGTCGTGTCAGAAAATGCAATGGAAGATCCCAAAGCAAAAACGCAAAAGCCATCGTCGACGTCGACCCTTTTGCGTGTACACTTAAGAAGCTGTCGTATTAGTTGATTTTTTTTTTGAGTTATATCTTCTGAATCATGTCGTGATGTTTTATCAGAGTCTAGGCACTGAGACTATGACTCATTTCAAGTTCGACATTCTTAGAAATTGATTGAATTCGATATCATGGATGTCTAATTCCTAATAGAAATCGAATTCATCGACATTTTCACAATCTAATCCAGTTAGTCGATGGAGGAAGATGCGAGTCTGGTGGAGGAGATGAGGGGTTGGTCAAAGCGCTTGAGGATGCAGCTGAGGTGATGTTAAGACTTCACTTTTACATCATTTATTCGTCAAGCAAACGAAACAGAAACAGTTTCTGTTTCGCCTGAAAGAGAAACTGTTGCTGCCTCGCTTACTTCAAATTTCTGATACCTTCGCTGACGTAACTAGTAGCAGAAACTGCACCAGAAACCTCTACTGAGATAGAAACTTCAGGCATTAAGCATACTATAGACTACCAGAAATAGAAGCCTCTAAGACTGCCAAACTACTTCGACGCGGTTGCTGTCGACGACGACACGGGGAGTGGCTCTTTAAGGCTCGAAGTGCGTAGTATGATTAGAAGATTGATGGACTTCGGCCTTTCAGGTTTTAGTGGAGATTGATTTGCTTAGTACGATTAGAGAGGTAAACGCAAATATAATTAACAAGGGAGGTCGACAGCTACAGAAAAACTACACTCGGATGTATATGCAACTGTGCCTTCGTATATATGTGCCACTAACTACTGTTCCTTCGTATATTTCTCCTCTGCCTACAAGGGAACTTTTCTGGTGTGTTTCTGTTTTGTGATCGGATTGTTGTCTAAGAAAAACACGATCAAACAGCAAAAGGCCGCAGATGGCGTCGGCCTCCTCGCTAGCAAGTCGGGCGCAGTTGTTGTCAGGAGACTTGGTCCTTGTGTTATGCTCGTCAATCGACAGAAGCTCGTTGACCTATAATATGAAGATCTAGCCGGTGGGTGTCCCTGGTATTCTCAAAAAAAATATCTCCCTCTTGTTCTCATTCATTGTGAATGCTCGCTAATCATAGTCGAAGAGATGATATCGAAGAGCGAAAACAGCGTGGAAGAGTTCTTCACAACGGAGGTTATGGCACGTTTCTGAGACGTGATACTGAAGCAATCACAATTTGACTTCAGTGTCAGAATCATCTTAAGTCCTCAACAATCAAGTTGCACCTGGGTTATTGCGGCCTGTCCGGTACCAGTAGATGTATGAACGACATTGGAGAATGAATCTCGGTATGCTGGCTTGTTGTCGTGTGGCTTTTACTTGGGTGGTTTCCTCGATACTTGTTACCACTCTAATGAGAAGATGCGGGCTGGCCTGGTGCTCTTTCTGGTCCTTTTATGAACGATTGTAGATAGAACAGTCCCCATGATGATGATTGTCGTTGATCAGACGCCACGCAGCGTTAGTAAAAACTTGAAAGCACATGAAGATACGCTCTTTATTAACACAAGCTCTTCCTGACAATGACATCACGCGGCTCTCCATGAGCGATTGATACTCACTCATCCTTCTTGTGTTGTTTAAGCTGTTCCTGACAATGACATCACGCGGCTCTCCATGAGCGATTGATACTCATCCTTCTTGTGTTGTACAGCTAGAGGACATGATCTTTTGTTCCTTGTATCCTCCTTGTACAGCTAGAGGACATGATCTTTTGTTCCTTGTGGAACTCAAGCAATTATTATAAGCAAATATTATGGCGCTAAGTCAACTAAGAACTGCACAAAAACGGTCTCTATTGTCGCCTCCTCGTCCTGGAAGTGCTCCGCTTAGCGACTTTGGTAACTTGTTTTCTCTTGGTTTTTCTGTCGTTTGGTTTCGTTTCATGTGAGTCCCCGCGCCCCTCCAGAGTCCACCGCACCAGCCTGCAAATGTATGCTGGGGGATTCTGGAGGGGCGCGGGGATTTGGAGGGCGCCCGAGGTTCTTGGCTCGCAATTGGGTGAGGGTTTTCCAGAAGGGAGCGCAGTAGGCGGCGAGTGTTCTGCGGATTCGTATCATGCCCGAGAAGATTGAATTTTGTCCGGATTTTTGCAGTCCTTAGTTGAATTTTCTCCATTCTAACTCCACTTGTCTGTGGTCGAATTTTTCGCCATAATCGGAAAGGTTTGAGACACTCCGCCCGAGGTTCTTCGTTCTTGGGTCTTTTCATGTTGTTAAGTGTTGGACTTTTGACCACCCGGCGCCCCGAAGCTCTCGCGCCGGGTGGGATTAGTTACAAAGAGAAGCGACGCGCTGCCGCCTTCAAATGGTCAGACCACTCACGCGCGCCGCCGTTTGTGCGCAGATTGTCGGGGGGGTTTGCTGGCGTTGTTCGCACTCTTTTGAAGTATTTCAGCGGGGAAGTTTGCGGGGGTTTCGCCAGAATTGAATAAACCTCTCTATTGTTTGCCGCTTTCCTGCTCGCTAGGCCATTTTTGATGAAAAAAGTGAAAAGATGTCTTCAGATTTTTTTCCAAAAATGGCCTTGCGAGCAGGAAAGCGGCAAACAATAGAGAGGTTTATTCAATTTCGTGGCATTTCTCAAGAAGGGCTGGACCGGTTGCCGCTTGAGTTCCAAAGGGCTCGCGCCTCCTCTTTTTGTTAGGTTTCGATGGTGTGGCGTGCTCGCTGTGCCTCTGGTGCTTCCGCAGGTGGCTGATTAGAATGGCGCTAAGTCAACTAAGAACTGCACAAAAACGGTCACTATTGTCGCCTCCTCGTCCTGGAAGTGCTCCGCTTAGCGGCTTTTGCAACTTGCTTCCTCTTGGTTTTTCTGTCTTTTGGTTTCGTTTCATGTGATTCCCCGCGCCCCTCCAGAGTCCACCGCACCAGCCTGCAAATGTATGCTGGGGGATTCTGGAGGGGCGCGGGGATTTGGAGGGCGCCCGAGGTTCTTGGCTCGCAATTGGGTGAGGGTTTTCCAGAAGGGAGCGCAGTAGGCGGCGAGTGTTCTGCGGATTCGTATCATGCCCGAGAAGATTGAATTTTGTCCGGATTTTTGCAGTCCTTAGTTGAATTTTCTCCATTCTAACTCCACTTGTCTGTGGTCGAATTTTTCGCCATAATCGGAAAGGTTTGAGACACTCCGCCCGAGGTTCTTCGTTCTTGGGTCTTTTCATGTTGTTAAGTGTTGGACTTTTGACCACCCGGCGCCCCGAAGCTCTCGCGCCGGGTGGGATTAGTTACAAAGAGAAGCGACGCGCTGCCGCCTTCAAATGGTCAGACCACTCACGCGCGCCGCCGTTTGTGCGCAGATTGTCGGGGGGGTTTGCTGGCGTTGTTCGCACTCTTTTGAAGTATTTCAGCGGGGAAGTTTGCGGGGGTTTCGCCAGAATTGAATAAACCTCTCTATTGTTTGCCGCTTTCCTGCTCGCTAGGCCATTTTTGATGAAAAAAGTGAAAAGATGTCTTCAGATTTTTTTCCAAAAATGGCCTTGCGAGCAGGAAAGCGGCAAACAATAGAGAGGTTTATTCAATTTCGTGGCATTTCTCAAGAAGGGCTGGACCGGTTGCCGCTTGAGTTCCAAAGGGCTCGCGCCTCCTCTTTTTGTTAAGTTTCGATGGTGTGGCGTGCTCGCTGTGCCTCTGGTGCTTCCGCAGATGGCTGATTAGAATGGCGCTAAGTCAACTAAGAACTGCACAAAAACGGTCACTATTGTCGCCTCCTCGTCCTGGAAGTGCTCCGCTTAGCGGCTTTTGCAACTTGCTTCCTCTTGGTTTTTCTGTCTTTTGGTTTCGTTTCATGTGATTCCCCGCGCCCCTCCAGAGTCCACCGCACCAGCCTGCAAATGTATGCTGGGGGATTCTGGAGGGGCGCGGGGATTTGGAGGGCGCCCGAGGTTCTTGGCTCGCAATTGGGTGAGGGTTTTCCAGAAGGGAGCGCAGTAGGCGGCGAGTGTTCTGCGGATTCGTATCATGCCCGAGAAGATTGAACTTTGTCCGGATTTTTGCAGTCCTTAGTTGAATTTTCTCCTATATATATGTAAGGCTCTTCATTATTGAATACGCTCTTCAGAACAGCACACCGATACTTAAATATCCTCTAAGATATCTCCTTGGTTGTTTCGTGGGAGGCTCGGTGTGGAAGCACACGTCGTCAAGTGGAAGTGCGGATTGGGCTCAAATGTTTCCAATTCTAAAGAAGACTGGTTTTTTTGATGAACTCTGAGCCTCTAGAAGCCTCTCTGGGTCTCTATTTCCCATCCAAGACCCATGCCTATCAGTATCATGTTCTGAAATTGGAGTACTACTGCGACAAAAGATATAGAACCGTATCATGTTCTGAAATTGATACCTCTGTGGAAGGTGTTTGTGGAGAATGCCAACCAAAAAAATACCAAAAGAACATGAAGACCGCTATATGCGATACTATTCAAATATGAAACTGCTTTGAAGACAAGTGTAGGGGCACATATTCAAACATGATGGATACGAAGAATCTTCGGATGAAAAACTTTTTGTGGGAAAGGGTTGACCACTCACTGGGTGAAAGGTTACTCTACTGATTCAGGAAGAGCAAGTAAGGGTTTGAGAAGGCAAGAGACAGAAGATTTTTGTGAACTGTTCACGAGAAGGAGACTACTTTGCTTCAGCAACAGACAGAAGATTGTGAACAGTTTCTAGCGAGTAACGAGAGATACTTCTTGCTGGGAGAGGCCAGTGAAAAAAGATCGTGGAGAGCGACTTTGTTGAGACACTTTTTGTAATGGCCTGAAAACGAGTGTAGTACTTCTTGAAGCTAATAAAGACATTGATGTGAAAGCTTTGCGGCTCCTAGCGAGTGTAGTAGGACTGACTGTACTGTACTGTTCTGTTTCTGTTCTGTTCTGAATCTGCATCGTCTGTTGGGTCTGCGTCGCCTGTTGGATCTGTCCCTGTGCCTTCTGTTGAACCAGCAAACCAACACGCCTAGAGCGACGGTCCTAAACCTCCGCATAAGAACCCCCGAAGAATCCCTCGTGTTAAATAAATTTTGATACTGCTTGCATAATTCAATCATGAGGAGATGTACAAGAAAGGACAACAATGATTAGAAGTAGACCTATGCAGACCCGCCTTCGGGCTGGGTATTTCATCGTCATCAATCTTGGAATAAGCAAGTAGTTAAGCAAGAGACCAATGCGCCTTAGAAGTCAAAAAATGTTGTATACACACAGGAAGGCAAAGAAAACAGATATTGTTTCCCTTTCCCAGGTTTAAAACTGTTTTATCTTGTTCTTCTTGTTATCCTAGGGTAATTTTCCCTCATGATTCTCCTACGTTAGTCCCTCCAAACGAAATCTTTTCCTTCGAGACTTTGTGGTTGCAGCGATCGCTTATTTTAGATCTTGCTCTTGCATCTTGATCTTGTTACATCGATCCCTTCTCTTGGTACAAACATGGCAAGAACATAGTAACAACATAGCAACAACACAGCAACAACATAGTACCAACTTAGCATCATAGATCGTGCTGTTGCCTCCCATAAAAACAGCCGCTAAGATGACTCTTCTCTCGTTGGTTCTCAAGCATCTACTCTTTTGTGGGTCTTGTCACATCGATTCGCCCTGCGTGTAGGTGCCATATGCCTATTAGTGATGCACAGAAGAGAATAGTACCGCACAAGAAGGCGCTCGCCTGAATCTGTGACGGCCCATTTGGAGGTATAAAAAAGCAACAGGATTCGTCGAGACGATCAGGAAACACAATAAGAAGCTTGTTGTATCCATCTTCCCGAGAATAGCAAAGAACGCTGCAATAAGAAACACCATCTTGTTACCGAAAACGGAGAGCAACTTGTTCTCACACTACAACAACAATTGAGAGGAAAGAACTACTCCTGGCCGACAACCTATCCTCGCACTGCAAGAATAACCAGTAGCTAGTCCTCGAGGTCGTTCTTTTCAAGCAGAAGATCATCATCTCTCGGACTACAACAACAAGTAGTGCTGGTGAACGTGGTTCTTTCTTGCACAACTACATCAAGAATTATAGGAAGTAGTGGACGTAGTTCTTCCAATACAAAAGACTAAGCAGGAGAAATAGATGATGATGCTTTTCTTCTTCCTCGTATTTCTTCTTCGGAGAGGCGAGAGGATGTTGGCGTCCTGCATTGTCTTCATGCTGCGAGAGGATGTTGGCGTGCTCTTTGCTGTGGGAAAAAAACACGCTGCAGCCGCGAAGGCCGAAGAGGGGGCTGGAAAAGAGGCTGCTGAGCAGAGGGCGTGGGATACCGACTGTGCCCAACTTCTCCCAGGCGGTTGGGTAGGTGCTGCGGAAGGACATGGCGCTGAAGATGCCCTTGCGTGTTATCTTTTAAGGGCAACACTTTTGGTGCTTTCTCATCATTTCACGTAGGGGCGGCCGCGTCCCCAGGGACACTGGCTCAGAATGTATTCCAAAACTGAAACGAGAAATAGCCGAGAAAGTAACGACTGAAATACGAGGGGTACTAACGTAAAGCCGCTATATTCCTTCAGTAGCTCGCTGTCGGTTGTTCCTCCAATTATTAAGGGTTACTTGCTATTGACATATTTATATATGTACCAGGGAGGGAGGCCCCCCCCTGTGGATGGATCTGTGGTGGACCACGCCAGAGGGGTCCAGCCTGGCCACCTTTGCCCGGTCTGTAGGGTTGGCCACATGCAGCACGCCAAGGGGGTGGGTCCCGCCTTGCCTCCTCTGCCGGCTCTGTCGGGTACCGCAACACGCCAGAGGGCGCCAGCCTTGCCATCTTTGCCAGGTCTGTAGGGCACACGCAACAAGGCAGCGGGGCCCTGCCTTTGCCACCTTTGCCAGGTGTGTCGGGTACATGCAGCAAGGCAGCGGGGCCCTGCCTTTGCCACCTTTGCCAGGTCTGTCGCGTACATGCAACAAGGCAGCGGGGCCCTGCCTTGCCTCCTTTGCCAGCTTCAGCGCCCTCCAGTTTGGTGGCGCGCTAGGGTGCGGGCAAGAAGCGGGAAGGGGTCAGGAGTGGGCGTCTTGAGGCCTTCCCGCCCGGCAGCCCCTCGAAAAGAGGGGCCGGGGCTGGCAGGCCCCCCCCTCAAAAAGTTAGATCGGGGGGGGCCTCCAACCCTGAGCCCTGGGACATATACGAAGAGAGTCCCTGGGCAATGACGTGTGGAAGTCCCTTGCTCTAGGGTGGGCAATAGCAGCCTACCCTATCTTATCCTGTCCAATGATATACTTTTTCGCTTGAGGTTGATGGATCTTGGTCTTCTTCTGTCTCAATCATTACTAGACCCAAGCGCCCGGCAACTCTCCCTCCACTAGAGTCCTCCACTTCCTCCGCGCGCTTCTTCCATCAGAGCAGGCTCCCACAGTCTCCTCCCCTTCGGCCTGATCATAGTGCGCCACGGGCGTTCCTGATAGGCGGGGCGGGAGGCTGAGCGAAGAGGCCGCGTCTGCCAAAAGAAGGAAGCCCCGCACCGAATCCCAGGAAGTTCGGAACTTTTTAGATCGTACTTTTTGTTGATGAATAAGCCAAAAACTTTACTCTTTTGAAATTTGAAGTTTCAAATTCGAAAACCAACCGAAGCTCAAAGCTGAAAATTTTGAATTTGAAGCCCGAAGCCTACGGAGTTACAATTTTGAACTCGAAGCTTGCAACTTTTGACTTGCAAGCTTGAATTTGCAATCTTGGGTCTACGACTTTGGGCTTACAGCTTTGAGCTTTCAACTTTCAACTTTGGACTTTCTTGGACCACAAGAGCACAGGCTGCTAAGGCTTGGCAAGTTTCTTGTGGATTTGGGGTTGGCCTGTTGATCGTTGATGTTGGAACTATACGCCTTGAGGCCTATGGGCTTCCTTGGGGTCTTTCCGGTGCTGCTTTGTCCTTGGCCGGGCTGAGAGATTGAAACAACGAACGCGAGGGAGCAGATACCACAAGGCACCCGCGTAACGGGGAGCCCGGCAGGCGGTTGGATAGTGCTCCGGGTGGGTTTGCTAGAGGCCTGAGAACCACAGACACACGCGCCAGCGGTGGCAAACGCGTCGACGGTGGTGCCCATGGGCTACCGGATTCGGCTGGCGACCTTGGTCATTTTAGGGATCTTAGTCCCCCGGGCCTTGTGGGTCTTCGTGGTATTTCGATGGATTCAGACCATGGCCAACAGACTTGAGATGTTGAGTCTTGGCCTTTGGCTTTGGGGCTCTAGATATATTTGAGGTCTTGAGCGCTGTTGCGCACTTGAAATATCGCGCTCAAGAGCTAAGCGCAAAGCTTTGGCCAGCGTCTAGCCTAAGCCTAAAGCTTTTGGCAGCACGCTCCGAGGGTACGTACAGCAGCGCGCGCTTTGATTAAACTCAAAGCTGAAGCTTGGGGTTTGCCAAGTTAAAGTTTTGAGTTTGGATCTATATTCTTGGTTGATAAAATCAAAAATTTAGGCCTTTGGTGCAAGATTTTTGATTTTAACGGCTAAAGCGTAAACTAGATTAAAGCGTGTTTTGTCTTAATCGATATTCAGTACCATGCTCGTGGGTTCTTGGGCTCAGGCGTTCGTGTGTTGCGTCTGTTAGTTCGTGGGCTGATTAGAAGAGAGCGCGGGGAAATTTGCTACGCGGGTCGAGTGTTTTTGGCCCGGGTGTTTTTGGTTCGGGTGCTTTTGGTCCGGGTGTTTTGGTCCGGGTGTTTTTGGTTCGAGTGCTCCTGGCTCAGGTGTCTTTGGTTCGGGGGTCCTTGGTTCCATTGCTTCTGGTTCGGGTGTCTTTGGTTCGAGTGCTTTTATTTTGGAGGCTGGTGGGGATATAATGAAATTTTCCTTAGCTCTTTATTTTTGCGAGTCACTTGCTTTTTTCGCAGTTTATGGAATTCTGTCGGCCAATGCTCTTGGGGTCTGACGCAGCCATCGGCCAGAAAGCTTCCGCCCGCCGCCATCGCGGTAGCCACCCCTCAATGTTCCCCCGATGATGAACTGTGTTCCCTAGCGCTCAGGGGGTGCTACTTCACTGGATGGCCCCATAAGTGGACAGAAATAGCTACACACGAGGCGCGGCATGGCATGACATATCTTAGCACTGCCGCCTCTAATATTTCCCAAGGATTTATACGACGCAGGCCTAGAGGAGGAGGTGGACTTTAAGGGACGACTGCAGAAAAAGTTGCATCACCTTGCCTGGCGAGCAATAAATAGACTCTTTGCCACCTCTAGACTAGGTAGGATCGTCATCATTTTCATCATTATCATCATCATCACCGTCGCCAGTCAGCTACTTCAGTGCAATAAGCAAAGCACTTCAGTTCAATGAGCATGAGAAGAAAAGCGGCCGGCTCCTTTTCCCGCTTCCACCCTAGGTGTGTCGCTCCATTCAAGAAAGTACTCATGTACAACAAGCAGAGGCTCTTATTGAGTATTCATGGGCTATGCACTCGTCTTGTAGAAGTTGGGAACTACAGGGTATGTAGATATCTCGTCAATGATTTCAGTTTTCGCTCCAAATACTAGACTAAAGATTTGTTAAACACAGAGGAAGGATTGAATCAATCGGGGGCGCACTCGTGACCAATTAATTTATACTTCTTCGCATTGGATCACACCTCCTCGATGATCACGTCAGGTGCCCATCATGAGTCTGGTCTTGAGCAGTAAGTCCTCCCTCTGTTGAAATCATCTGAAGCACTTGAGTAGTAGTTGAAAGTAGAACTTTCTATTTGGTTGAAACCGTAGCCAGCCTTGTCTGCTAGTGAACCTGGTAGACCAGCGCCATTCCTAACCAATCACGGAAGTGAGCCATGGATACCTTTCGCTGGAGGGTCTCTAACAAGGGCAAGACGCTAAGCAGGGGCACCAAAGGCTGGATTTGCTACACCTCGGAGATGATGCGCGCCGGCGCTTTCGCCAAGTACAAGGATACTAAACACACAGAAACGATGGATCGGGCGAAGGTTGCGGCTGACAAGCAAGAAGGAATTCAAGGCAAGTTTGCGCGGAAGCGTGCCATCGCGTGGCTGCTTGCAGGGGGCAAAGCTAAATTTAAAGCCCTGGAAAAACGCCGGGAACAGTACGCAAAAGCAGTTGCAGACAAAGAAAAAGTTGCAGAGAACAGAGTTCTGAGCTCTTGGCGACGTTACGGGTTGCAAGTTGACCTATGTTCATGTAAAAGCATATAGTCTAAGTCTATGGGGGCAAGTCTATCTAATAGCATTCCTAGTCCAAAAACATATATTTCACGGGGAGGGTCTCTGAGATGGGCAAAGATAGCTGGAGAGGTCAACTTGAGAGGTCTAACAAAACGATGTGATGCCAGCGTTGACGGGCCGTTACGTGGATGAGAGCACGGGCACAGCTAAGTGGGAAGAAGTACCAGAGGACCAGCGCAATAGCTTTAAGATGAAATGCCTCTTATCTTAGATATCATCTGTTCTTTTTCTTATATTGATATTCGTCATGATTTGCGAGTTTCCTTCTCTCTCAGAAAGCCTCCTTCTCTAAAGTGTAGCGAGGTGATCTGATCTAACGTCGTATTATTATATCACCCATCTAACATCAGATGATATCTGACGCTTACATCGATATCGTCACTCATCTAACACATGCACATGCCCTGGAGGCGAAGAAGGTGAAAGGCAAGATGAAAGCGGAGAAGAGGAACGCGGCAAAGTTTATGGCCAAGCTTTTACTGTTCGCCCATAATGAGTAAGTAGGCAAGGTGCTACTGCTAGCCTCCCTTTCGTCTAGCTGACAGCATAGGCGGGCAGTCTGGGCCGCCATGGCTCTTGCCAAGTGAAAATGGTCATACTGGGTGAGAATCTATTGGAGTTCCAGTCTTTTGCTGGGGCGAGAAGTCGGGGCAGGGCAGATGTGTTGTCTGTGCGTCAGCGGGAAGGACATGACAGGGCCCTTGCTTAGGTGGAAGGGGATTGACCTCTAAGACTAAGAGGAGGGGGAGACGAAGCGCAAGGAGGAGGAGGAGACGAAGCGCAAGGAGGAGGAGGAGGCGAAGCGCAAGGCGATGGAGGAGGAGGAGGCGAAACGCAAGGAGCAAGGTACCGTTCTGGCGCCCACGAACGGAGACGAGGAGGCGCGCCAAGCAGAAGAGGCCAGAGACGCAGAGCTCGATGAGAACGGAACCGCCAAGAAGGGAGGGCCGGCTCCCGTGCCTGAAACCAAAGCGGACACGGCTGGGGCGGAGGCGGCACAGGATGGCGGAGGACATGAGACCCCCAGCGACGAGGCGGGAGACGGAGAGAAAAATTAAGACCAAAGGTCTCGCATACTTATAACACTCACCGTAAAGATCGCGGGTGACAACGTTCTTCAACCATATTCGTCTTTAGAGATTTCTCGATAAACTAGAAGTACTGCTGATCAAAATTACACTTTAGCTCATGGATATTATTGATTAGGGCTTAGGGCTCCTAAGTAGTCTCGCGTTGCGCGCAATATTACACGTACTACATCTCTATTTCTATTAGGGCACTCTCGGTGTCGGTTCCTTTATATATTGAAAAGCTTAGACTTTCTAACTTCCACATGTCACCCTTGTGTCCAATGATTCATAGCAATTTCTGCTAGAGCTCCACCTTTTGTAAGTGAGTAAGGTATGACTTATTATAACTTGTTCAAAGAGCATACTGGCCTAGCATATGAGTGAACAGTAAAGGTCGCTTACTAGTAGAAGATCTGGTCTAAAGCAAAGATGGTGGACTAGGAGGGGATAGAGCTGCAGCAAATGGTCGACAAGCGGAACCAAATGGCGGACGCGAGTTCCTGGCTGCAGAGGACGCGCAGGCAAGCGGTTCGTTATGAAGGTCACACTGTAACAACGAGGAAAGGGCGCCATAATGTATAAGTATGATTATAGAAACTCTTATTATTGAGTATGATTAGAGAAGCTCTTATTACAAGTGCTTAGAATCGACGGATCCTAGCATAAACATGGCCATTGATCATTAACTTTTTCTTCAGTCTATACCTTTAGCATAGCTTTTTGGTTCTTTCCTAGTTATCGAGGCTCTTTTCCTTCGCGGTTTGAGATTTTTTTAGGTCTGGCGTGCTTCCTAAATAAGATAATAGGTCCGCCTTAACACTCTTTTTCGACAAGAGGTCTAACGGCTGAGTTTGTGAGAAGGTGTTTCATGAAGATAGGTCTATTGGTTTATATTGTGAGCCTTTTTTACTAAATGTAGAAGCGGCAATGCTCCTCGTTTTGGGGTTTCGGATTTAGAGAACTCCTATCGGAATACTCAGATTCCGGACAACTGAATAGTCGCCACCTCTAATAAACGAAGAGAAACCTCGTGTGCCAGTGGCGGAGCCTGGTGTACCAACAGCAGCGGACTCGAATACACCGACGGCGAAAAACGAGCTGGAGGCGAAAAACGAGCAGGAGGTGCCAGGACAGGCGATTCCAAAAGCGGGAGCGAAACAGCGAGGAACGCTGACCCTTGCGGGAGTCCAGCACAGAGAAGCGAACTCAAACGCGGCGCCGCAGTCTAAAACCCAAATTAAGAGTAATAATTTTGGTGTTTTGCAGGCACTGCTAGTTAGTTTTCTTGCCCCTTTTCTTCTTGTGGGACCAGAAGGGCATACTGTTATTGATTCACAGGGTAAACTAGCACCAAAGCCCGGCACTGTTAGCGTCTTGGCTTCGGTCGTGTTCACTATCAGAACTTATCTCTACGAGATAATTATCGAGAAAGGATTCCCAAGCCCCTTTCTCGCGTCCGATACTGTATCTGACTTCCCGCAGCAAACCCGTTTTGTAGAGTAGCCCTCGTTGTTTGGCATTCGTAAGGCTTTGCCTTTTCATCTTAGCACAGCTTCGCCATCTTTCTCGTTTCTCATGTATTCTTTTTTTCTTCCTTGTCCTGTTTCGCGCGATCGCTGTTTTTGGGGCAGACGTCGGGAGAAGGAGATGAAGAAGCGACGGAGTAGACTATACAAAAGTAACAGGACAGGCATCATCAGTGCGAATTTCTAGCACTTAACTGTAACGGCAATTGCTGCCACTCCCATCCCTTTCACCAGGCCGTTGTGAGAAGCCCTAGGCCATAATAAGCATCTGACTCCCTCCGGGTGGACGGGGTGCGACCTTTGGTCTTGTTTGGTTCGCTTTGGTGTCACTGTTTCAGGGCCCACGCGTTTGCCTTCTTGACTGTAGTGGTGGGCCGACTATGTTCCTCCCTTTCACCGGGCCGCTTTCGTCACGGTTTTAGCTCCGCGCTGTAGCTGACTGGTGAGGCATGTGACTTCACCGGTCGAGATCTCAAAAACATTAGCTAAGCCCGATCTCTGCGCTTATTCTTAGCACAGGCCCGCTCCACTGATTTCGGGTTTGCTAGTCGTAGTTAATTTTTTACCTGTCACTTCATGCTTTCGGTGGTTCGTCAGTAAATCAATCATCAGTGTTGCGGCGTGTCATACCCCTGCAGGTGTGCTGACTTGCTCATGGGGCCCCGCTGCGTCGGGTTGCGCCTTAGGTTTTCTACAGGGGCCGACTGTGCGGCTCCTCCGATATTCGTAGATTTGTGGCCGATTGTACGGCCTTATGCGCCCCCAGTATGTAACTTGGGTTTTTTTTTTATAGGTTGATTAATTGTTTCAAAGGGCGGTGGCATATAGTCCTAACGCAAAAAAAAAACTCTACGGGCACTAGGTGCAGCGCTATCAGGGATACACACATACATACCAAAGCCCTACCTCTAACAATGGAGCGGGAGAACCTGCTAACAACGGAGCCAAAAAGCCGACCTATCTTTAAGGCAATTGATTCAGATGCTCGTCGTAGTAGTTTATACGATCGCACACATCTTCGTAGTAGTCAGCTGTTCTTTTAATTTTATAAGGCAAGTTATAGATGAGTGATTCCTTCTCGTACAGCACGGCTTATTATTTCGGCTAAGTATACGTGTAATCCAACTAAGTTGTAGAAGACAATCATGTAGTACCAAGTTGTAGATGTAGACAATCATGTAATAATAACTAAGTTCTTGTAGGTATCCTACCCTACAGCCATGATTCAAAACAACCAAAAGTCTGGTAACTCTGGAATGTGTCACGACTGACGTCGGAGAAAGTCCTCTTCCTCTTCTAATCTTTCCTACGAGGTAGTGGGAATCTTCTCCGCGACCAGGACGAGCTACGAAATGTTGCCCTGATTATTGACGACGCCGATGATGTTTCGGACGACGGCTCGTGCTGCCGCTGAAGGCAGAAACAATGCTGTGGGGTTCGGACGACGGCTCGCCGTGGATGACTAGTTGACATCAAGTACTATGATTTTCATTTTGGAAATAACCCTAAAAATCGCATTGCGTCTTCATTTAAACCACTATACTCCTACTCTTACTAATCTCGCAGTTCCCTAATACCTAAGCAGACTAAAATTTTTCCCTTGTAGTAACTAATTATCCCTTCATTTGCTTTTAAGTACTAGATAAGTTTTCAAATAAGTGCTAAAACTTTGTAGAATGCATGGTCAACTCTCTTCTCATCACAGTGGTTTCTCATCACAGTGGCTTCTCATCACAGTGGCTTCTCATCACAGTGGCTTCTCATCACAGTGGTTTTATGGAACAATTTGTTCACTTTCTTAGGTGTTTCGGTATGCGAGAAGATGAGGTCGTAGCTTCGAGGAGTGGCATAGATGAGGCGGAACCACGATGACCAGCGGAGTCGCTATTGTGGAGCAAGTAGCCATGGAACTGTCAGCAACTAGGAAAAAGGCTACCTCCTACCACCTCTCCGTCAAAAATCCAAGAAGCACTGAAATTGACTTCCAAGAATTAGAAAAGTTAAAGATTTTAGAATGATACTCGTGAAGCACATATACCTCGATCGGCGCAGATATAACTGCACAGCTGACCAAGAACAAGAATCAATATTCTACTCTCATATAATCTACATAATTTATGCACATAAAAATGCACACGATCGTTATTTATCTATTCAAGAGCAGCACAGCATACACAAGATACAGGTCTGACACAAATGAAATCAAACAAAAAACTAAGTGACTGACATTCTGAGTCATAAACCTAATCCAGTTTTTCAATCTTGAATTTTCTTTCCTGACTACATATACCAGAAGTTTTATTGGGTTCAAAGAAATGCGATGAATCTATCACCTATGCATACTGCCGACAACGAGTTGTAATCATACTTTGACAATCCATTTTTTAGTTGACAGGGATAGGTCAGGTAGGCCAAAAAAATGGACGATAGGATGCGGATAGAGGGACTCGCGAGACCCGCGGCTGAGTGGGGTCAATCGTTGGACTCAGCGCACACACGAGCTGCCGTCTAGCAGTAGAGCCAACGCTCTGGCGACGGCGAGGCAAGTGGTTGGGAATGGCGGAAAAAGTAGTAAGTGCATCAAGTAACGCCACTCGTTCTCGTGTTGGAGAAGGGCGACCCGGGTAGGCTTCATCGATAGCTGGGGGGAGAAGACGTTGAGGCGCGGCAGTCTCCCCTGAAAATCCCTGCCCAGCTTGAAGTGTCTCCTCGACCCGCGCGAGGATTGCTCGCGCCCGGATCCCGGGCCCCAATAAGCTAAGCAATCTGTCAGTCACTTACTAACCTCCTCGCAAGGTATTTGGAAGTGTTTTCTTCCCCTGGTCTTCTATGGATTACTCTGTAGCCGTTCGCTCTTTTAATTGCTTCTAGATCCGTCCGAAGACTCCGGCCCAATTTAGTTGTAGCAGATCGCCACCCATATCGCAGAACAGTGACAACTTGCCGCGCGCAGCATAGTAGCCTCCCCGCATAAGTCCCACTACTGAGCGTCGGATGTGTTTTTGGGTCAACTTCACGCCCTGACAGCCACCCGCTGCCAGTCCCATCCAACTGACCCACCACGCTTCGACCGGCGCCGCACCTTGGGAATAATATAGATAGTGTCTCACACAGTTTATTAGTTTGGTAGTGCTGCAATTATCGCTGTAATGGTAAAGAAAGGAAAAGCGTGTCGGCCTATTTAGTCTGCCAGGGACGTTACTCACGTCGGAAGCAGTCGGCCTTATGTGACTGCCGCGTCTCTACTCGGGTCGCAACGGGGCCAGGCAGTTACTTGTAGCTGCTACGTGGTTCGAGTGAGTGAATTAATGAGCATGATGCACAACTAAGAAGTACTTGAAGTAAATCTGAAAGACAGACGAGCTGAGTACTTGAAGGGCCTACTAAGAGACTCCTGGGAGTCGTCAATAACCGTTTCACACACAGAGGCAGGCAAAGAGGACAGTCGGCTTTTCCTTTTCCCAGGTTTGTCACTGTTGCATCTTTCGTTCCTTCTGGTCCTATACATAGCTATGCTGTTTCTTGTTTCCTCTCTCCGTGGATCGATCCTTTCTTCTACAAGATCTTATTGCATGGATCCCTTCTTCTCGTAGTGCGTAGCATCATCTAGATCTTGTTGCTGCATCTTCTCCTTTTGCGACTAAGATGGCGCCTCATAGACTCGCTCTGCCTCTCACCTGGGCGTGAGTCCAACCTGGCCGAGCACAAGACACCGAGGACACCTAGGACATGTAGCTCTAAACAGAAATACTGGTGACTTTGAAGAGTCCTGCACATCTAGCTCTGTACCTAAGTATTTACTTCTGCGCGAAGGTCCATATCGGTGACTGTCCATTTGGAAGCATACACGAGGCTCATCTGGCGGTCCCTTTGGTATTATACACCAGCCTCATCGTATTTGAAGCCATCTTCTCGAAGAACTACTTGCCGACAGCTTCGCTGGTGGCACTAAGTACATCCATCATTGAGAAGAACGAGGCTGCAATATGATCACCTGAGAAGAACGAGGTGGCGACTACTCGAACTACTCAGCTCTGACTGAGAACGAAGAACTGCTTGCCGACAACTTCTCGCACTGCAAGAATAACAAGTAGAAGATCATCATCTCCCTGCCCACATAACAACAATAAACGATGATGATGATGATGCTCTTCTTCCTCTACTTTGCAGCCCTCTACTTTGCAGTGGGAACAAACGGTGCAGCGGAGGGGGAGGAGGGTGCTAAAATTAAGTGTCTCCACCTTACACTTAATTAGATTCACCTTTCCACCACTACTGCTACACCTAATTAGATTCCCCAGTACTTCTAATTTAGAAGTTCTAAACCATCCTTGGCCCTTTTTTCCGAGTAGAAGAAAATATGCCAGGGGGGACCTGACGGGGGATCGTGGATGTAACCTCCTCTAACAAAATGACAATAGAGGCGGAGAAGAAAGGTGAAGAGGACGCTAAAAAGGGGGAGGACGCTTCAAAGGACCCTAAGAAGGATGGAGCTAAAAAGGAAGCCGAAAAGGAGGAAGCGGAAATAACGGACCCCGTGGGGCTGTGGAATAACGTGTGTACTAAAACTCTGGAAGACGGTACCGGTGGACTGGCAAAGCCAAGTGTTCCAGCTGAAGCTCCATACGAGTGCTTGCTTTTATGGTTCCACATTGGTCGTGCTTCGCTTCTCGCATTGGTGCGCGGGATCCACAACCTAACCCAACCTAGCCTACCCTTCATCGTCATCACCATCATCGCCCCGGACTAAGACTAAGACTCTAACCGAGTGTAACTAACAAGGTAACCTTAAACTTCGGCTCAGGGTTGTCCTCAGACTAAGGGTGGCTGGCAAGGGCTCGTCTGGTTGTCCTGAGAAAGTGACCTCAGCCAGAACTTCTGCTTCGAAAGAAGTAAACTTAAAAGAAGAATAGAGAAAGTTTGCTGGCCAGGTTCTGAGATGAAGGCTTCGAGCCGGGTCGGGGATCATGTCTCAATACTAAATCAATTTCTAAATTAATAAGTACTACTAAATCACAGGTAGTACTAAATAGAGTCTCATCTTCGTCACACAGATGATTCAAGGCGGGTGCTGAAGAGCTGTTAGACTACTCTAATATTCCCCAAGGAGTTATTCGATGCAGGTGCAGAAGCGGACTTTAGGACACGACTTGAGAGCGTGTGAACACACATAAATATGTAATTTTTTACCTAAGAAAAACATCGGAACCTAAGAAATAGATGACAGCACTTCGCATTGGGCACTTCGATAATATCAGCTGCTCATCAACACGAGTTTGATCTTCGGCAGTAAATTGACCATCTGAAACACTTGAGCAGCAGCTTACTCTTGGAAAGAGATGAAGATGTTACCCATCTTATTGCTATGAAAGTAGAAGTCTCTATTTGGAGGTTTAAACAGTGGACAATTTTCGCGGTTGTGAATCAATATGGAGCATTCGCGTTCGCGTGAGGGTCTCTAACACGGGCAAGACACTACCTGCGAAGACGAAGTCTTGGATTTGCTTCACCTTGGAGATGAAGCGCGCTGAGCGCGTCGAAAATTCTTACACGCGGGATGAAAAGCTAGAAGTTTTGAAACGGGCGAAGGCTTTGTCTAAGAAGCCTGAAGGAGTCCAATATGGATGATGTTTATTCCATTCGTCCGACCATCGAGGCTGCCCTTTTCCCCTTAGTAGAACTGTATTGCTGAAGGGCGGCCTCGATGGTCTGGCTAGATGGAAAAAACATCATCCTCCATATCCAAGGCAAGTTTGTGCGCGAGAATGCCATCAAGTGGTTGAAAAATGAAGCAGGCCGCATCGACAATGTGAAAACATACCGCGAAGAGTTCGCAAAAGCAAAAGCAACGCCAGAAGAAGTGAAGGCTACAGAGAAGAAGTGGCTACGTTAAGGGCTGGCGCAAGTTGACCTATGTACTTCTAGATAGGCGTCGCTAGAACTATCTAGAGCAAGGGGAAAAAGAAGGGTAGACATGCGGGCTCCTGGGTAGGTGGTCATCTTAAAACCCCTAATAAAACTATGTGATGCCAGCGGTGACTGGGTGGCACGTGGATGAGAGCACGAGCACACCTGGGTGGAAAGAAGTACCGGAGAACCAGCGCAATAGCTTTAAGATGAAATGCTTCTTATCTTAAACATCATCTGCTCTTCTCGAAGTGACCTCATCTAGCGTCGTATTATTATATCACCCATCTAACACATGATATCTGGCGTTTACATCGATATCGCCACTCATCTAATATATGCACATGCCCCGGAGGCGAAGAAGGTGAAAGGAAAGATGAAAGCGGAGAAAAAGGGGCCGGCGAAAAGTTTTATGGCCAAGCCGGGACTTTTCATCCATGGTTGAGTAAGTAGGGAAGATGTTATTGGTAGAATCTTTGTTGTTTTGTTGAAAGGATAGGTTGGTACTGTGGGCCGCCATGGCTCTTGCCAAGTAAGATCTTTGTTGTTTTGTTGAAAGGATAGGGGGGTACGGTGGGCCGCCATGGCTCTTGCCAAGTAAGAATGATCATTTACTGGGTAAGAATGTATTAATAGAGCCCCATGATCTTTTCTTGAGGACGAGAAGTCGGGGCAGGGGTTTTTGTCTAAAACATAAAGAAAGACGGTGGAAAAGGGGATGGAACTGCAGATGGCGTTGGTGGGGGAGGAAACGAGTTCCTGGCTGCAGAAGGTGCGCACCCTCCGAAGGCGGGAACCAAACAGCCTGCAGCGCTGAACCCAGCCCAGCGCAGAAGAGCGAACTTAGAGGAGGCGCCAGAACAGCTGCCTGAAGCCGAAGTTATGTTCTTTGGTAGGCTTTTTGTTGGCTTTTATCGTTGGTTTTTACCGTTTTTTTTTGCGTCTCCCCACTCCTTATGGGACGAGAAAAGCACAAATTCGAACTCCTTATGGGAAAACAAACAAGCACCTTACTTGGCGAACAGGGTAAACAAGACTAGCAGTGGCGTGGTGTTACCTCTAACAAAGAAGCTGCAGGAGCTGCTAACAACGGAGCCAAAAAGCCGTACTTTTTTTAAGGCGATTTTTCAGATGCTCACTGTGCTACGTAAGTAATGTACACGCCCACTTCAGAAGAGACAACTGTTTACTCATAAGACAGCTTACAGAGTTAGAGTGCGAAGAGTGATTTCCCCCATAGTAAGCACGGCCATTATAATTTCAGTGAAATATAAGATTTAAGATAAACATGCCATCATCATCATCATCATCATCATCATCATCGCCATCGTCGTCATGTTAATGAGCATGATTTTCCCACCAGACTTGCTCACTCTACAACGATACATGATTTAAAAAAACTCTACAAAAAAGTTGAGTAACTTTGGAATGCAATGCAGCGATTTTGCAATCAATACGTAGCTCTGACGCTGAGGATAACCGTCTATCCTTGTCCTAACTCTAATAATGATAGACTTTATTCGAGATGCTGGGAATCCCTCTCATCCTCCCTCCAATTTCTATTACGAGGTAGTAGGAGTCTTCTCATCCTTCCTCTAATCTTTACTGCGGGGTACTAAGAATCTTCTCCGCAACGTAGATGACAAGCTTCAAAATATTGCGTTGATTGCCTCACCTCCCGCTGACGAAAGCGATGGGCACGACGGCTCGTGCTGCCGTTGAACACAGGATGAATGTTGTGGATGGGGAATGCGGCGTCGGACGACTGCTCTCGTAGAGGATTCTTTGAGAAGTCGTAATCACAGGAATATCCGAGAAGATGAGGTCGTGGATTCCGATATGAAGAGTGGAATAGGGGAGGTGGAACTACTATCCTCCGAGTCGTTGTTGTGGAACTACTATCCTCCGAGTCGTTGTTGTGGAACTACTATCCTCCGAGTCGTAGTTGTGGAACTACTATCCTCCGAGTCGTAGTTGTGGAACTACTATCCTCCGAGTCGTTGTTGTGGAACTACTATCCTCCGAGTCGTTGTTGTGGAACTACTATCCTCCGAGTCGTAGTTGTGGAAACTACTATCCTCCGAGTCGTAGTTGTGGAACTACTATCCTCCGAGTCGTAGTTGTGGAACTACTATCCTCCGAGTCGTAGTTGTGGAACTACTATCCTCCGAGTCGTAGTTGTGGAACTACTATCCTCCGAGTCGTAGTTGTGGAACTACTATCCTCCGAGTCGTTGTTGTGGAACTACTATCCTCCGAGTCGTTGTTGTGGAACTACTATCCTCCGAGTCGTAGTTGTGGAAACTACTATCCTCCGAGTCGTAGTTGTGGAACTACTATCCTCCGAGTCGTAGTTGTGGAACTACTATCCTCCGAGTCGTAGTTGTGGAACTACTATCCTCCGAGTCGTAGTTGTGGAACTACTATCCTCCGAGTCGTAGTTGTGGAACTACTATCCTCCGAGTCGTTGTTGTGGAACTACTATCCTCCGAGTCGTTGTTGTGGAACTACTATCCTCCGAGTCGTAGTTGTGGAAACTACTATCCTCCGAGTCGTAGTTGTGGAACTACTATCCTCCGAGTCGTAGTTGTGGAACTACTATCCTCCGAGTCGTAGTTGTGGAACTACTATCCTCCGAGTCGTAGTTGTGGAACTACTATCCTCCGAGTCGTAGTTGTGGAACTACTATCCTCCGAGTCGTTGTTGTGGAACTACTATCCTCCGAGTCGTTGTTGTGGAACTACTATCCTCCGAGTCGTAGTTGTGGAAACTACTATCCTCCGAGTCGTAGTTGTGGAACTACTATCCTCCGAGTCGTAGTTGTGGAACTACTATCCTCCGAGTCGTAGTTGTGGAACTACTATCCTCCGAGTCGTAGTTGTGGAACTACTATCCTCCGAGTCGTAGTTGTGGAACTACTATCCTCCGAGTCGTTGTTGTGGAACTACTATCCTCCGAGTCGTTGTTGTGGAACTACTATCCTCCGAGTCGTAGTTGTGGAAACTACTATCCTCCGAGTCGTAGTTGTGGAACTACTATCCTCCGAGTCGTAGTTGTGGAACTACTATCCTCCGAGTCGTAGTTGTGGAACTACTATCCTCCGAGTCGTAGTTGTGGAACTACTATCCTCCGAGTCGTAGTTGTGGAACTACTATCCTCCGAGTCGTTGTTGTGGAACTACTATCCTCCGAGTCGTTGTTGTGGAACTACTATCCTCCGAGTCGTAGTTGTGGAAACTACTATCCTCCGAGTCGTAGTTGTGGAACTACTATCCTCCGAGTCGTAGTTGTGGAACTACTATCCTCCGAGTCGTAGTTGTGGAACTACTATCCTCCGAGTCGTAGTTGTGGAACTACTATCCTCCGAGTCGTAGTTGTGGAACTACTATCCTCCGAGTCGTTGTTGTGGAACTACTATCCTCCGAGTCGTTGTTGTGGAACTACTATCCTCCGAGTCGTAGTTGTGGAAACTACTATCCTCCGAGTCGTAGTTGTGGAACTACTATCCTCCGAGTCGTAGTTGTGGAACTACTATCCTCCGAGTCGTAGTTGTGGAACTACTATCCTCCGAGTCGTAGTTGTGGAACTACTATCCTCCGAGTCGTAGTTGTGGAACTACTATCCTCCGAGTCGTTGTTGTGGAACTACTATCCTCCGAGTCGTTGTTGTGGAACTACTATCCTCCGAGTCGTAGTTGTGGAAACTACTATCCTCCGAGTCGTAGTTGTGGAACTACTATCCTCCGAGTCGTAGTTGTGGAACTACTATCCTCCGAGTCGTAGTTGTGGAACTACTATCCTCCGAGTCGTAGTTGTGGAACTACTATCCTCCGAGTCGTAGTTGTGGAACTACTATCCTCCGAGTCGTAGTTGTGGAACTACTATCCTCCGAGTCGTTGTTGTGGAACTACTATCCTCCGAGTCGTTGTTGTGGAACTACTATCCTCCGAGTCGTAGTTGTGGAAACTACTATCCTCCGAGTCGTAGTTGTGGAACTACTATCCTCCGAGTCGTAGTTGTGGAACTACTATCCTCCGAGTCGTAGTTGTGGAACTACTATCCTCCGAGTCGTTGTTGTGGAACTACTATCCTCCGAGTCGTTGTTGTGGAACTACTATCCTCCGAGTCGTAGTTGTGGAAACTACTATCCTCCGAGTCGTAGTTGTGGAACTACTATCCTCCGAGTCGTAGTTGTGGAACTACTATCCTCCGAGTCGTAGTTGTGGGGCGAGTAGCAACGGAGCCTTCATCAAGCAGGACAAGGGACAAGCCACCTACCTACCTGCCTAAGTACCTACCTACCTACTTACCGTCTGACCGTCTAAGAACTGCAATTAACTTCTGAGAATGAAAGGTAGAGACTCCCCGGGCCCGGGTGCCCCGGGAGACGTTAAGGAAGGGAAAAGGATACTTTAGGGACGTGGGCGGGGGTGAATGGTTTCACAAGGTGAAACGGGCGCCCGAGGGGCGCGCACTCCCCTCCGCGTGGCGGTGAATTTACAAACAAGAGCAAGGTGGCAGCACTGCCACCGATGCCGTTTGAAAGTGTAGCAGTATTGCCAATTTTGTAAGTCGAAAATACTAGCCTGGGGAAGGATATTCAGCCCAGAAAAACGAAGATCAACCAGGAAGCTGGAAATCTATACCGAACCAATGTCCCCCTTTGGCAGTACTGCCACGATTTTCCTCTTAGAATGGTGGCAGTACTGCCAAAGAGATGGATCCCAAAAAAAAAAAAACACGCCGTCCAAAATAAAAGCTCAGCCGTTCCCCGCCGCTAAAGAGATCAAAAAAAAGAGATCAAGTCTGCCCTGGTGTCGCCGTTCTCAGAGAGCGGAAAAAAAAAATCGCTTCATTTTTAACCGTTCGCCGCAGGTTAAGCGCTTTGGAGGGGGCTAAAAGTATTGTTTAAGGGGGTACCTGGGAGACTTCTCCAAAGGTTCACGCGAGTAGTTTTAGGCAGTTTCTGTAGCGTTTGCGTTTTATTTTTTTAAAAGATTTTTTTTTTAAAAGTGGCACCATCGGCCAAGGCGGCACAGCTGTGCAGCAAGCTCCTGCAGGAGATTGGGGCCGGCGGATGGAAGGCAGCGGTCGCCTACGTGTCGGCGGCTTTGTTAGATTGTGGCGAGACGCGTGCGCAAGCCTGTGGCGCCTGTTTGGGGGAGGTTTTGCGGCGGGAGCGTGCTAAATCCGGAGCGGCTTCCGCGTTGTGTGTCAAAGAAGAGCGAGAAGGAGCCGGGGCGCCGTGGGCTGAGCACGTGGCGAAAATGCCCACGGGGAAAGGCGAGGGAGCTAGTTAGCCGTGAGGGCGAGAAGGTGTGGAAAGAGGTAAAGCGCTGGGCCAAAGGGGTGGGGTTCGTTCTAAAGAAGAAGAAAGGGGGGGGGCGAAAGAATAGGAAAAAAATAAGCAGGGGGAAAGAATGGAAGAAGTTAGGGGGTGAATTTGTTGTAAACTTGAACAGTAAAAGCATACGCGCAACCGCTCAAAAATATCAGAAGCAAAAAAAAAGGGCAGAACCATCACAAAAATGAAAAAACGAAACGCCAACGCGCAGCCGGGGCCCTTTCTGTGGGTTTCGGCTTCTTTATTGGCGTGCAGTTGCTGCGCCTGCGTGTTCGTCATATCGGTAAAAGTGAGAGAGAGAGAACAGAAAGGAAAGAGGGACGGCCCGCGGGTGCTCTTCATCGGTAGGAAGAGAGGGAGAAAAGAGCGCAGGCGGCTGCTAGTTTTTGTCGGTAGTGCAATGGGGCGCGGGGTGTGAGGTGTCCCCGTGAGAAAGAGAGCGAAAAAACGAGGGCCCGCGAGGGCTGTGCGCTAGTGATAGCCAGAAAAGGCGGACCCTGTTCCGAAGATGGTAACAAGAACAAGCAGCCAGGGGGCGCCGGCGGGCAGTGAAACGCGCACCACCACGGGCACCATTTTCAACGCGTTGGCCATAGCTGGCGCGGGTGTTCGCGGTTTTTTTCTTCTCTTTTGTCTCTTTGTCCCGTTCGTG